CATCTGTATACAGTATATATATGTTGCTAGCCTATCGTATACGATCGTAAAGTCGAAAATTCTTAACCCGAGGAGCATCTGTACTTTACATAAATAGTTATATCATTTCATGAATGAACGTTTATTTGTTGATCAGTGAATGCAGTTCCATGCTGGGTTAGCATTCTGATTACCCTAGCATAATGAATTCTGCACCGTGTGCTATGTGAAAGGCCTTATGATTGTGTACTCAACTATAACACTTTCCACTATAATGTAGAACACTTGCCAAGTACTCAGACATAAACATTGTTTGTTTGTAGATATCATTTCTGAACATGACCTGTCATTAATCTAAATAAAATACAGATTGGTCGGTTTGGGCAAAGTTATTTTTGAACCAAGACTTCAGGCATGTTCAAATTATAACAATGACTTGTACATGAGTACATTTTTTACATCAAATTGCATCTGGCTTTTCACTTACACTGCATGTGAAATGTCTACATCATTTTTTAAATCTTAATTCCTAAATGTAACCCTTTACTTTAATCTTATCCCTAAATATAAACCTTACTCTGAGCCCATCACTGAACCCAAACTAGCACTAGTACTAATCAGCTGCAAAAATTAATCCACCAATACAAATTTATATAGTAATTACCATATAAAAACAAAAAAAATCTTGTCACCAACAAACAATACATCAAATTACTAGTGCAGAACCTGTACCAAATGCAACTCATTTAACCAAGTACAACCCCAAGATTCTAAAATCTACAAATCGGTTTGCACATCAAACATCCTACAATACAGCGGCTCTCAACCTAAAATCTTCTGTGAATTTACTGTCAAAGGAAAAGAAAAAATGATTTTGCAGTTCTCTGCAATGTAAAATCTTCAGCATGCCCTTGATCTTGATCTTGAATTCTTGATCTGCTCATTAAACACAAGTATTCTCATATTTTTCTTTATTCACTGAGAACACAGGTAGCTCAAAAATAACGTGGAGTGTGTTTTCATATTAACAGATGATGGAAAAATGTATAAATATACAAACTAAATACAAACAAGGTACAAGTGCCGGGTTTAGCCCAGAAGCTAGCTATTGCAAGAGTGCAATGAAAACAGGTCTAACAGTGTGCCCCGTGTGCTGTAATCAGTCATCTATCTACTGAATGTTCACATGGACAGAGTTCCACTCTTTCGGGAGTACTTCCCAGGAACACAGCCTTCTCCACTGAATACAGTGGCCAATTCAAGAACCTTTATTACAGAAAAGGATTGTTAACAATACTGTCTACAAATCTGGTCATATTCTGCCCTAGTTTACATCAATAGTATGTTAATAACAATTTGACACTGTTGTATTTTCAAATCAAGATAACATTTTTATCACTGGCAGCAGAGGTGTGGGGAGGTGTTGCCACAGAGGGTGGTAATAGATATCCAACACAACAGACGCTAAAGATGCCAGTGGTGTTTCTAATTCTGCAATGGATTCAACAGATGTACTAATAGTATTATTGTATATGTATTTAACAAAGCAGTGTTTTATTAAACTTTTTAAACATACATTCTAAGGCTTATTCATACATTTTATGTTCCTTTATGGTTCCTTTTCAACATGTGCCTTTTAATGTTTTTAAAAATATATTAGTTGTGTTTATATATGATACATTGAATTGTCTTTTTATTTAGTGTTTAGAAATACAACTCGTCCTTATTCACAGACTGCATCCATGGGTGTGCATCTGTACCTGTATGGATGTGAAAGTTCAGGTCAGCATGTAGCCGCCATGTCCTATCATAGAGATGTACAGGCAACTGCATGCGGCTACACACAGCACTTGTCACTTGGAACGCAAGCCGGCCCGCTCCCGGCATTCAGGGGCGGGAGGGGGCGTGGCGGTGCATTGAAGTCAATGGCACCGCAGCCGTGCCGACCCCCCCCCCGCAGTGCAATCGCCCGCCCACCGCATGCAGGCACATTAGTGTCTGCGTTCCGGTCCAGTGCGATCTGCAAAAATACTGCAAGCACTATTTTTGAACCCAGGGAGCATTGTAAAATAGGTAATAATGAAACTCACGATGACAAATCAAGCAATAGAGAAAAAAGCAACTAGGTCTCTTATTAAATGATAGGCCATTAACCCTTTTATTGAATAGACTGATAAGGAGGGGAGGAAGGCAGATGAAGCAGGTGGATATTTGTTCATTTTCCCTGCTATTACATTAACTGATTTGTAAGGTAATCTAGTTGCAGTACAACAAAAGTTATTGCATGCAGGCTCTGGAAGGCAGCATTACATTAAAAAACATTTTTTTAAAGTCCCCCGCCCCCGCGCGTCGCCACGTAAACACACGACGGGTGCGCCTACGTATGAAAATGACGAACGCGCTACACATGTTGGGTATTGCCACGCACGCCGGAGTGAGAGCAATAATTCTAGGGCAGGTATTTTTGGGTATCTTTAAGTCTACCTGTGGGGACTTTTAAAGGGTTGTGTATGTACTTTTTGGGGTACTGAAGTTTGTCGCCATTTCACAAATGCACACAATTTTTAACCTGGTCATGTTGGGTATCTATTTACTCGGTTTAATTTCATCTTTTATATTTTATTTTTAAAATTGGTATTTTATTGTGATTTGGGGCAATTAAGTACATTTTACTCTAAGTTTTGGGGTTTGATAAGGAGTTGCGCTAATATCGTGCAACATAAAAATTTGCAACTGCCAACATTTTATTCTATAGGGTCTTGGTTTTCAGAAAATATATAATGTTTGGGAGTTTTAAGTAATTTTCAGGCCTAAAATGTGTACTATAACATGGGTGCAAAAAATGAAGAAACAAAAAGGCCTCAGTCATGAAGGGGTTAATTAATGAGGCTTGTGTATCACATGGCAACTGAATTTGAGACTTGTTTAGATTTTCATACCGTTGTACTTTTACTGTTTTTTTGTGTGTTTTAGTTGTACTTGTTTCGGTTTTGTGTTTGGTGTGTTTTCACATATATGACTGCAGTCAAACTGCATGTTATTTTAAATGCGCTATGGGTGTGGTAAATACACACACATATGCAAATATGTGAGCAGGTTTATTGACAATAATGAAAACATATTTCCGCTGTAGCTTGTATGCTTTAAAAAACTGAAACTAGAGCCCACTGGTGTAAGTAGAAACACAGCAACATTTCTGAAAGTCACAGCATCGTGTCAAAACATGTCTCTTCCCTCTGAAGTTATGTCATTTTACCTGGAGGAAAAATACAAAGCTGTCAAGATATCTTGTGTATATGGACTGTGCTCTTTCTAGCAATTCTCTTATGTCAGCAAACACCCCACCCTTCAACCTATCAACAGCTGAGTTAAGTGTTCAGGGATCTGACAAAGTCCACGCAAAGAGATTAGCTTTCAATGTGCAGTTTTGTCTCATATGCATCAACATACCAAGGACAGCAATGCCTCATGTTTCACTGCGTGCTATCAGCTTTAAATGTTTACACTATAAATGTATTAGTGTTGGTGTCTAAGTGTATATATTTTGGTGCTTTTTAAAATACACTTTTTAAAACTTATAGCAAACAAGTCACAAAAGAAAGTAGTAAAAGTAGAATGTGTGTGTGAATTTAGGGCCAAGCACCTGCCTGCATACATCTCTAAGGTCCCATTCCCACCATAATGCATTGCAGTAATGTAACAAATTTATAAAATTTTATAAAATATATAAAAAATATTTAAAGGACCCTGTGTACCTACATATATAGAAATGTGCGCATAGGACACGTATGTACATTAACACCGATTGTGCAACAGATATTGGGTATTGCCATTCACGCCAAAGTTACAGTTAACTCCAGCCTAATGAACTGCAGAGGTTTTTAAAAAATGGAACCGCTATTGCCGCTATTTCCTTTTGTACTTCTGTAAAAAATGTAATAAAAATCTAAATTTTTTTAAAAAAGGGAACCTATGTCAAATGTTAAGCCTTGTAGCTTCTTGGCATTTTGCGGGCACACACAATTTTGAGGCCTGACATGCTTGGTATCTATCAACTCAACACAGTCTCATCTTTTATATTTTACAAAAGAAAACGGGGATTAAATTGTGTCTGCATGCACTATAATTCATGCTGATATTTATAGATTAAATATAGGTGACTAGGTTTATACAACCTTAATTCCAATAAAGTTGGGACGCTGTGTAAAATCTCCATAAAAACAGAATGCAACGATTTGCAAATCTCATAAACCCAGATATTATTCACAATAGAATATAACAAACATATCAAATGTTTAAGCTAAGAAAATTTACTATTTTAAGAAAACTAATCAGGTAATTTTGAAATTGATGGCAGCAACACGCCTCAAAAAAGTTGGGACCGTTCCATGTTTACCACGGTGTAGCATCCCCTTTTCTTTTAACAACACTCTGTAAGTTTCTGGGAACTGAGGAGACCAGTTGCTGGAGTTTTGGGAGAGGAATGTTGGCCCATTCTTGCCTAATATCGGATTCTAACTGCTCAACAGTCCTGGGTCTTTTTTGGCAAAATTTGTCATTTCAAAATGCGCCAAATATTTACAATTGGTTATAGGTCTGGACTGCAGGCAGACCAGGTAAGCACCAAGACTCTCCGACTATGAAGCCATGCTGTTGTCATAGGTGCAGTATGCGGTTTAGCATTGTCCTGCTGAAATAAACAAGGCCTTCCCTGAAAAAGAGGTCATCTGGATGGGAGCATATGCTGTTCTAAGACCTGGATATATCTTTCAGCATTGATGGCCCCTTTCCAGATGTGCAAGCTGCCCATTCCATATGCACCCCCAAACCATCAGAGATGTAAGCTTTTAAACTGAGTGCTGATAACAAGCCCGAAGGTCCCTCTCCTCCTTAGTCCGAAGGACAAGGCGCCCATAGTTGCCAAAAAGAAAGTAAAATTTCAATTTGTCTGACCACAGAAAATGTTTTCACTTTGTGACAGACCATTTTAAATGAGCTTTGGCCCAGAGAAGATGGCGGCGTTTCTGGATCATGTTCAGATATGGCTTCTTCCTTGTATGATAGAGCTTTAACTTGTATTTTTGGTTGGCACGGCAAACTGTGTTCACAGACAGTGATTTTTGGAAGGATTTCTGCACGCATGCAGCGATGTATATCACAGAATCATGCCTTTTTTTATACAGTGCCATCTGAGGGCCGGAAGATCACGGGCATCCAATATTGCGTTTTGGCCTTGTCCCTTGCGCACAGAGATTTCTCCAGATTCTCAGAATCTTTTGATGATATTATGTACTGTAGATGATGATATATTTAAAGTCTTTGCAATTTTACGTTGAGGAACATTATTCTGAAATTGTTCGACAATTTTTAGATGCAGCTTTTCATGATTGGTGAACCTCTGCCCATCTTTATTTCTAAGACACTGTGACTCTCTAAAGGTGGCCATACACTGTACAACCATCGCAAGACATCAAGTCTTGCGATGGTTTACAGGGATTAAAAAACGTACGATCTGCCTATCTTGGACAGGCAGATCGCACTCTCGATCATCGCAAGCCCGCCCCCCCGAGGGGCGGGCTTCCGATGACCGCAATACTGAACGGGCAGTGTGCGCACACCGGCCCGTTCGGCATTTGTCTTCCGAGCACCGTTCTAACCAGCCGAGAATCGTACGATTCCCGGCTGGTTTTCGAACATGCTGGTTCGACGGAAGACATGCGACCGTACAGTAGAAACGGTCGCACGTCTCCGTTCACACTGCTCGATTCTCGTACGATCGCGGGATTTCCCGAGATTCTCGTACGAGAATCGAGCAGTGTATGGGCACCTTAAGATGTTCTTTTTATACCCAATCATGTTACTGACCTATTGCCAATTAACCTAATTAGATGCAAAATGTTCTTTCAGCTCTTCCTTGTTAGTACCTCGTACTTTGCCAGAATGTTGTTGCCCTGTTCCAACATTTTTGAGAAGTGTCGTTGCCATCAATTTCTAAATTACCTTATTTTTTCTTAAAATGCTACATTTTCTCAGTTTAAACATTAGATATGTTTTCTGATTTCTATTGTGAATAAAATCTGGGTTAATGAGATTTGCAAATCATTGCATTCTGTTTTTATGTAGATTTTACACAACGTCCCAACTTTTTTGGAATTGGGTTGTAGATTAAATAAAGAGCTGTGATATCAAAATGTTCATCTCTCATCTTATTATTTTACAGGTCCTCTGCTTTCAGAAAATATGTGAAGTTTGGGGGTTATAAGTAAACTTCAGGCCCATAGTAAGGTTTAGAGCCCATAGCAAAATGTAGAATTCATATTTCACACATATGACCTTTGTAGAGTGCAGTCTGACCTGCTGTAATGGTTGCAGCCTTTTGAACATCACCATTGCTCTTTTCACTTATTCCTTGTATGTCTTTGTGACTGCTTACATCTCTAAGTAATATTTCTAATCTGTCGACCTCCTAATCAGATGAGCCTTTATGCTGCTGTGCCAATGTATATTATTGAGGTCACTAATTTTCTTTAAAGCTGAACTCTGGGTATAAATATTTATATATACTTACAATGGTCTCTACTTGGCATTCTCTGATTGGATCAGAATAGAAGAATGTCTAGTATTCATTGATAAAGATATTAGGCATTTGCTGAATGGCCGCCGTGCTGAGCGATTCCCCCCTGTGTTCTGGCATTACAGGACCTGGAAAATTGCTGTAAAGCACTGTAGTAGCACCAGCTCCTACAGTGTTTAGCCGGATCCCCATGGCCTTTCCTGGTATAAAATATGTATTCTTACATTGGGTCAAGCTGGACCAATGTAAACATATATAACTATTTATACCTGGATTTCAGCTTTAATATATGTGACTTCCACTCCATCTCCCCATGACATATAAAGAGGTCAAAGTACATTCTTGTTTACTGGGGGCATTGTGTTTACTGTGTAATTATTTGGTGTTGACATGGTTATTTCTGTCAATCTTTGAAATTCCCTGTCCCTGATCTTTGGTTTTATATTGATGACTGTCCCTGACTTTTTTTAACTCCTTTTTGCACTTTGTTGTGCATTTTTCTTTCTTTCCAGTCATTAGAGTAGAAGAGTACGGGTAATATTGGTAATAGAATAAAAACTGTGGTGTGCAAGGTCCTGCTTTATACAGCTGACAAGTAGGTTTATTTTCATTTCTTGCTACTTTTCTTCCTGTCTGATGGCTGTCAAATTGTGCAAAGTGGATTTAACTTGAATGTTAAGGTCTTATTTAAAGGGGCTGTATAGGCCAGCGTTTCTCAAGGTATGATAAGCAAATTACATTTAACATAAGTACATTTATGAATATACCCACTAATTGTGTACAACTTTTTAAAATAAATCTCTTGTGATTTTAAAAAGCTAAAAATACCCATGACTTAGGTTCATCTAAACCATTACTAGCAACGCACCAACCCCAAAGGCTGCCTGAAAAAAGCAACTGCATCTAATAGGATGAGGATGCAGTCACTGTTCAGCTGACAATTTTCCACCCGACTCAAATTTTAAACTGTAGGAAGAGGAATCACCAGCACTCAGTAGAATATTCCAACATGTCCATTTATTATCACACAATCACAAGTTCCAACGTTTCGATACCACACAGGGTCTCTTTATGCCCTGATGAAGAGACGCTACGTGGTCTCGAAACGTTGGCTCTTGTAATTGTGTGACGTCTATGTCCTATAGATGGACATGTTGGATTATTCTACTGAGTGCTGGTGATTTCTCTTCCTACATTGTGTCTGCACGGTGCCATCCGTGTTCATCACTACAAGCACCATTGTCTACATAGCCCTTGATTGCTGCAAGGTGTGCGGAGGATTTCCCCTTCTATCACATTTTAAACTTACATTTGTCCAGACACGTGGCTTGCAGGGCCACCCATGGCTTGAATGTTGGCTGATTTGGCAGTAATTGGATGAAATTTGAATAATCTGTGAACAGCACAAAGGACCTCTGGCAGAGATTTTGCAATACCTTGGCCATTTTCACCAAGTTTCACTCCGCACAAACCATAATACTTGAAAAAAAAAACAATCTCCCTGCCGGGTCATTTGAATACAGCTGCTGAGATAATCATCACAACCATACAATATGTGTATTAACAAGCAAACCAACTGTGCACATTGATCATAACTACAGCCTAAAAAAGTTGCATAGACTAAATTAGCTTGGACTTGTTTAGTACAGGACTGCAGTCTGGGCTGTTTGGTTTTCTCTGTAGTGTCTCCAAGAACACGGTTTTCATACTCCTACCTAACCGGGCTAATGCCCTACCAGTCGTGCTATGTTTTCCAAGTTCAGAGCTCTTTTAGCCTAAACTTAGGAACCACTCTTTGCAGAGCGGCCATGATGTGGTAGTGTGGCTCTACGTATATTTGCATATTTATTCAACACAAACTTCAGCTTTTAACACAAATTGTTAACACCGATTAAACTTTGGGCGGACAAGCTGGTAAGTGTGCTGAGGAATTGTATGTATTGTGTTGTTCTATGGACTGCACTGCCCATGTGCACCTTACTTTGGCTACTTATAAACTGATCAGGGCAGTTCTCATTTGTATGCAATTTTTTGCCAGGCTTGCTGTTGGTAGCAATACCAAGTAATGGAAGCAGAGAGAGCAGAAGGAAGTCTTTTTTTGCATGCAGATGCCCACATGCCCAAATTCGCAGTGTGTGCTGCTGTCGGCACCCTTTCGGTCGGCTTCTCTCAATCTGCTGATCGAGCTGGCCGGAAAATCTTTTTACAATCAGAGCCAGCAGCGAATCAGCTGCTCTGATGGGATTTTCTGACAATGGCCAGGGGCCGCTGTCAGAATACAATGCAAACAGCAGGATTCCTCGATCGACACATTCCTAAGTGTTGAAAAAATGAGAAAAATAGAGCAGTATATGTCCAGCCTTAAACATATTATAGTTCTTGGATATGTGACCTTGGCAATTCACAAAGCATTCAATTCCGTTTCCCTGTATCAATCAGAGAACGGCAGGTGTCCTACATTCAGAATTATTTAATAAGGTGCTACAACATCTGCAAAAACCTATAGCAACAAATTCTTAGGGGTCTATTCACAAAGCTGCTGAAGGATCTAGCCGTAGCTTTGGCTGATCCTTCGGCTAGCTTTGGCCCCAGGCCGAAGGGCTGCTGTACAGGCTATTCACTATAGCCCGTACAGCTCCCGAAGTTGGCCGAGCGGCTCAGTCGAGCCGAAGGCATATGCCTCGGCTCGACTAAGCCGAGGTGAAAGCTGAAGCTGGCCGAATGGCTGGCCATTGGCCGGCCGACAGCCTGCTACTAACAGCTGGCGGAGCCAGCTGTCATCTCACATAACCAGGGACGCTGATCTGTCATTACTCTCCCGGACGCTCTGGGAGTCTCCCGCTATCAGATAGCGGCTCCCGGCCGCCCGGGAGGGAAACACTTTCTCCTGGAAAGGTTTACTCTGCTCGATCGAGCAGGGTAAACTTTCCCTGCTCTGTTGTATGTTTCTTTTTCCTTCTGACATTAGAGCCGCCTGCGCCGTCAGCCAGAAAAAAAACCCAGCATAATAATGCATAGCTACATTCCTATTGGCTATTTCACTTAGCAAAAGCCAATAGCAACCTAGCTATGGCACCCGCCCACTGCTGCTGTCAATCAGCAGAGGGGACCTGAAGTTCTCCATCAGGTCCTCTTCTAGCGATTGACAGCAGCAGAGGGCGGGTGCAACAGCCAGCTTGTTATTGGATATTGCAAATTGAAATAGCCAATAGGAATCTAGCTATGCATTCCTATGCTGACTTTTTTTTTTTTTTTATCCTGACGGCAGCAGCTGTCAGAATACTAAAATAAAGCTTGCAGATAGCAAAGAAGCTATTGCTTCCTCTGCTATCTATTTTCTATTCTGCTCGGGACCACAGAGGTGCCGAGCAAAATAGCCAAGCCGAATGCCGCTCCGAAGCCACCCGATGTACGGCTGATTTCAGCCGATATACGACTGAAATCAGCCGTACAAGCCTG